TTTTAGCCCAGTTTTCCCTCCTTCTGCCTTAGCTCCCAGGTGAATTGGTGTGGCTATTTTAGAGCTGTGTCCCAGGTCTCTGCGCTGTCGAGGGGTCTTGGTCTTTATTCCCCAAGGGCACTGCTCACAGCTAAGACTGCTGCTGTCCATGGGCTCCCAGTCCACCATTCTCTCACACTTCCGCAGATCCTAGCAGTGTCCCTGGTTATATGGTCCTGTACTGCTGCTTTTCTGTTGCTTTTTTTCTGAGGATTTGTTTTTATTTTAGTTGTAATTCCCGATTTTTCCTGGGAGATCATCTGTGCAGCTTATATTCACTCTGCCTTCATTTTAACTCCTTTAAGCCCATCTTGTGTGCTGTTGGGTCACACAGGCCTTTCTGGTGCCCCTGCACCCTGCAGGTTCCATGGGTAACTGGATTGCACAGTCCCTGCTGGGTTGCACAGTTCTCTCTGGTGCTTCAGGACCCCAAAAGTCCTGCGGGTAATTGGATGGCACAGTCCCTGCTGAGTCGCACAGGCCTCTCTGGTGCCCCCGCACCATGAAGTTCCCTTAGGTGGGCAGCTGGATTGTACTTGTCTATCTCGGGCTCCAGCTTCCCACTGCACTTGTAGCTCACAGGACTGTACAGGCCTCTATGGAGCCCCAGGTCCAGCTGCTGGTGGCTGGGGAGTGCTGCTGCCCCATGGGGCTCAATTCCTGCTCAGCTTTTGCTATAGTTTTTGGGGATGGGTCTCAGCTGCTGGTCTGTGCTTCTCTTGCCTGGGGATAAATGTCTGCTCCCCAGCCTCTGTTGCTGGGGGAATACCTGGGTTCTGATTGAGCTGCTACTCTGGGGGATGGTGCTGGTCTCCTGGCTGTCCCCAGCTTCTGAGACTGGCACCTTGGGAACTCCACTACTGTGCACTGGTCTCTGCTGACACAGAGAGTCTCTGCTGACACAGAGTGTCCACTGGTCCGATGGGATGGCCCTCATTTTGAAGTCTATCTTGTCAGATATGAATATTGCTACACCAGCTTTTTTTTTTCATTTCCATTTGCTTGGAAAATATTTTTCCATCCCTTTACTTTCATCCTGTGTGAGTCTTCTGTTGTGAGGTGGGTCTCTTGTAGACAGTATATATATGGGTCATGTTTTCTTATCCAATCAGCTATATGATGTCTTTTGATTGGAGTATTTAATCCATTTATATTTAAGGTTATTATTGATAGATCGTTATTAGCTGCCATTTTTATTTTATGCTGTGTTCCTCTCTCTCTCTGTTTTTTCTTTTTCTTACAACAGTCCCTTCAGCATTTCTTGCAGTGCTGGTTTGGTGGTAATAAATTCCTTACATTTTTTTTTTAAAATCTGTGAATCTCTTTATTTCGCCTTCAATTTTGAATGATAACCTTGGTGGATAGAGTAGTCTTAGATTCAGACCCTTACCTTGCATTACTTTGTACAATTTATGCCCCTGCTGTCTGGCCTGCAGTGTTTCTATTGAAAAATCAGCTTGAAGTCTAATGGGAGCTCCCTTGTAGGTAACTTTCTGTCTGTCTCTTGCTTTCCTTAAGATTCTTTGTCTTTAATGTTTGCCATTTTTATTATGATGTATCTAGCTGTGGGTCTTTTGGGTTTCATCTTCCTTGAGACTCTCTGTGTTTCCTAGACTTGTGTGACTTTTTCCTTCACCAGTTTTGGGAAGTTTTCTGTCATTATTTCTTCAAACAGTTCTCTATTCCTTTCTCTGATACTTCTCCTTCTGGTACCCCTATAATGCTAATGTTGTTATGTTTTGTATTGTCCCACAGCTCCCTTAAACTCTTCTCCTGCTTTTTATTTTTTATTTTTCCCATTTGATGCTCTATTTGGGTGTTTTTTTATACCTTGTCTTCCAAGTCACTGATTCAGTCTTCAGCTTCTTCTAATCTACTATTGAACACTTTTAAGTTATTTTTTATAACACCTATGTCATTCTTTATTTCATCTTGATTTTTATTCATAGCTTCTACCTCTTTTTTAAAGCTGAAGTAGTTCCCATTGAGCTCTTTATAATTCTTATTAAGTTGCTTGTAGTTCTCACCAAGTTGTTTGAGCACCCTTAAAACTATTGTTTTGAATTCTTTAATCTGACAAGTTGCTTTCTTTCATTTCCTGTAGTTTCTTTACTGGTGATTTCTCTTATTCTTTTCTTTGGGTGTCGTTTCTTTGTCTCCCCATTTTAGTGCTCTCGTAGCTCTAGACCCGGAGAGGGATGTTAAGATGTGTAGGCAGCGCACTGTATATCAAATAAGACTGCTGTGCCTCCCAGACTGTTCTGTTGCATGTCGCCTTTTGCCTGTTGTGGGACCTAAAGGGTTGACTACTGTGGGCTTGTATTGGTCTTTCCCGGTAGGTGCTGCTGTTGTGTGGCATGGGCCCCTCTGAAGTTAGGTTCCTTGCTGGTCTCTGGTGCCACCTACAGCTGTATTTCTCAGGTCCTGCTGGAGCCTCACTCACTGCCAGCATTGTGGGCAGTTGTGTTGCCCTGGTTCTTTGCCTGTCTAGTGCACAGCTGGGTCACAGAGGTCCCTCTGGAGGCCAAGGTCTCCATAGATCTTGTAGGCAGCTGGGTTACACCGGTCCCTCTGCAGCCCTGGCACCTGGCAAATCTTGTGGGCAGCTGGGTCACACTGGTTCCTCTAGAGTCCCGCCTTCCTGGATCTCTCATGGGCAGCTGGGTCACACAGGTCCCTCTGGAGCCCAGCTCCCCAGGGCTCCTGTGGGCAGCTGGGTTGCACTGGTCCCTTTGAGCCCCGGTTCCCTGCAAATCTTGTAGGCATCTGGGTCGCACTGGTCCCTCTGGAGCCCCAGTTCCCCAGAGCTCCCATGGGCAGCTGGGTCGCACAGGCCCTGATGGAGCCCCAGGTCCCACTGCTGGTGGCTGGGGAGTGCTGCTGCCCCGTGGGGCTCAACTCCTGCTCAGCTTTTGCTGTAGTTTTTGGGTATGAGTTGAGCTGCTGGTCTGTGCTTCTGTTGCCTGGGGATGGATGTTTGCTCCCCAGACTCTGTTGCTGGGGGTATATCCTGACTCTGATTGGCTGCTACTCTGGGGGATGGTGCTGGGCTCCTGGCCATTTGCAGTTTCTGCCGCAGGCACCTTGGCAGCTCCACTAGTGTGCACTGGTCTGTGTTGACACAGGAGGTTTAGTGGTCCAATGGTGCCAGGTGCACTGGTGTGCTCAGGTTGCTGGGCCTTAGGCGCTCCCACTGCCTCCTCTCAGGGAAGACCCAGGATCTTTCAAAATGGCGGGGCCTCCCGGCTACACAGAGAAAAGCGCCCTGAAGAGCTGCTTACTGCTCCCTGTCCACAGCACATGAATCTTCTGCTCCGCATTTCTGCACTACTCAAGGTTGGTCGTCCACACTCGCATTCACTCACACTCTCTCTCACACTCGCTCGCTCTCTCATGCACTCACCCTCCTCTGGTCTTGCCCACAGCCATCTTCCTGGTCTTTTGAATGATCTTTTAAAACTAAAAATCTGATACCATTCCTCTACTTGAATCCATTGTCTATAGGATTAAATCTAAAAACCTATGAATGCCCTGGCCAGTTTTGCTCAGCAGTAAGAGCGTCGGCCTGTGGTCCAGAGAGACCCGGGTTTGGTTCCTGCTAAGGGCATGTACCTCAGTTGCAGTTTGTCCCCAGCCCTGGTTGGGTTGTGTGTGTGGCAGCCACTCGATGTGTCCCTTTCACGTCTATGTTTCTCTCTCTCTCTCCCCCTCCCAATCTATCTGAACAAAAAAATGGAAAAATGTCCTCAGGTGAGAATTAAATAAAATGAAATAAAAACTTATGAATGGCATATATGACTCTTGATGATCTTGTCCCTGCCTTGGCTGATAATATAGAACTGAGCAGAACAAATGGCTTGGAATTCTAAAAAAAATCTAACATATCCTTTTTTAGACTTCCGTGTTTTATTGCATGCTGTTTCTTTAGTATGGAAGGCTCTTAGCATCAATACCACTCACAAACCCATTCTCCAGGCTAACTTTTCTTTCAGGACTCAACTCAGAGAGATGTTCCTTCCCCTCCTTCCTCCCCTCCCCTGAAATCTGGGTTTGGGTGATCTTCTCTGTCTTCCTCTGTCTGGGCTACTTCAATCATAGCACTCTTTACCATGCATTGGCATTATCTGTTTACATCTTTGTCTCTATCCATGAGGGTAGTATGGTGGAGAAATGTGGACATATTTAAAACTATAATAATGATAATATCACTAATATAATGCCAGTGACATACCAGACACTGTTATAAGTGCCTGCTATATGTTAACCTATGTAATCCTCACAATACTGTGGGGTGGGTAGTTATTACTGAAATTAAATTAAAAGGACTTGGTGATGGATTAAATGTGGGGTCAGAGAAGAAGGAAGAGTCTCAGTTGACTCATAGGTTTCTGACTAGAGCAAGTGGGTGAACTGTGGATGAAAGTGTCATCCACTGATATAAGGAGCACAGGAAGAACACGAAAAAAAGGAGTTTCAGTCAGAGGGAGGGAAAAGAAACTTCCAGTTTTGGGACTACTACTCCTTTGTCCTTTTTTCCATAACAAATATTCTGAGAAGCTTCAGGAATAATGTGAGTAACACATCTTTCCTTCTAATTGACAGGCATTTGGAAACACCACTGTCCATCTCAGGAAAGCACACTAAGCTTCCAGTATATTTTTATTTATTTTTTTATCCTCACCTGAGGACATTTTCCCATTTTTTTGTTCAGATAGAGTGGGAGGGAGAAAGAGAAAGAGAGAGAGAGAGAGAAACATTGATGTGAAAGGGACACATGGAGTGGCTGCCTCCCGCATGATTCCAACCAGATCCAGGGACAAATTGCAACCGAGGTACACGCCCTTAGCGAGAACCGGACCCGGGTCTCTCTCTCTCTGGTCTGCAGGCAGAGGCGCTAACCGCTGAGTCAAACTGGCCAGGGCAAGCTTCCAGTATCTTTTTGTTAGCTTGCTAGGAAGGCTATGTTCTTGAGACCCTGGCCTTTCTCTCACCTTATGTTCTGGTTTAAGTCTCCCGGAAGACAGCGAGGACACTATGACCTTGCATCATTCAATCTGCTGGGGTGCTTGTGCCTTCTGGCTCTCATACCCCTCCCACAGCAGGTGTGGGCACCCCTCCACCCTGCAAGATAGGTGTATTGGGCTCTTGGGCTTGTGATCAATTGTTCTCAAAGACCCTGCCTGAGGTTGCTGCTCGATCAACCACTGAAGGGATCAACAGAGACCCATCATTTGATCTGGGTTACTCTTTTGAATATGTGATTCTCACTGAAGACTGCCAGACTTCCAGGGCCCTCTCCATTTTCTTTTGCTGGCACATGACTATTTTATTTAATTTATTTTATTAGTTAATTAATTTTTGTTACAGATGTTTCTCCTTCTTCCCCCACTGATTCCCCCCTTCCCCTCCCTCTCCACCCTGTCCCCAGCTTTGTTGTCCATGTCCATTGTTCATGCATACATGCATATAAGTTCTGTGGTTTATCTCTCCCCCACCACCCCCTCTTCTGGGGATTGTCAGTCTGTACCCCACTCCCACATCTCTGGGACTACCCCATTCCTCAGACTGTTATGTTCATTATATTCCAGAAATAAGTCAGATCATATGATACTTATCTTTCTCTGTTTGGCTTGTTTCGCTTAGGATAATACTTTTCAGATCTTTCATTTCTCACCACCAGATGGCCTCAATATTAATTGGACCTGTCAATCCTGGCTACTGTGAGGCAATAGCGCTTATTGGAAACAGCTGGGACAAAGGGATTTTCTCTCAGGCTTGTGTAAACTATGAATTAGACAATAAAATTAACTATCCAACCTTTTCTCAGACACTCCCTTTTCCCATCCGGGTGCTGGTAACTGTCATGGAATATTTCCAGTGGGCTTTGCAGGAGTAATTTCCTCAGATGAAGACATTTGGGTACACACAGCCAATCAAGCAGCAAGTGCTTTTCGGAGCCATATCCTACCTGTAGGGGTCGTCCTGACCACAGGACAAGATAGACAAAGCATTTGGGAAGTTCTCCAGTAGATTCGCCTGGTGGACAGAATTCACAGTGAGTGCTTTCTCCTGGCTGAAGTTTAAACGTGGCTCAGAGAAAGATATTACAATCTCCAATATGTTTCCTACCCTCATACCCTAGGGTAGCAAATTACTCCCAGTTATTCATGCATTTGTCCCCTTATACTCCCACGAAGGCTCCAAAACTGTCCTTCAACAGAGCCTGTTTTATGAACTGACTAAAGGTACAAAGAACTCTGCAGTTAAAGTGCCCTTAGGTGCCAATGCCTTCTCTCAGCACCTGGGTAAGGAAGAATAGCATCAAGAGCAATGTTATTCACATACCCTCTATGCTCTTAGAACCCTGGAGGTTTCAGATTAGCCAAAGAAGTATGTTCTTATTGCTCCATTTTTGTCTGTTCTAGTCACTGAAGGGAGATTTTCTTTTCACTCCCTTCTGGGTACTTTCCCTCATAGGTGACCAAGGCCTTTGTGTCATCACATCTCACTTAGAGCCTGTCTCATCTGGACTCCAAAACTCATATCCCCCTTCTGTCCTACACCCCCAAACCAGGGCTATTTTATCTGTAGCACACAAGTTGCAGATATGGAATGCCATATCTGGCTGATAAATGAAAGCATATTAAAATAAGACAGCCTACATTTTATTATTATATTTTTATCCTCACTCGAGGACATTTTTGCATTTATCTTCGGATAGAGGGGGAGGGAGAAGGGGAGGAAGAGAGAGAGAGAGAGAGAGAGAAAAACATTGGTGTGAGAGAGACACATCACCTTGTTACCACCTGCACCACCCCAACTGGGGCCAGGCACAAACTGCAAGTGAGGCATGTGCCCTTAGTGGGAACTGAACCCAGGACTCTCTGGTCTGTGGGCCGACACTCTAACCGCTGAGCCAAACAGGCCAGGGAAAGACAGTCTACATTTTAATCTTTCCCCTTTGAAGAGAAATTTTACGTTCAAGATAATTTTTTGCAGAGGCAATGGACAAATTGTGAAACACTTTGGACTAACCCACTGACACTAGCATTACCAGGGTGAGTTGGGTACATTTTGGGGATGAGAGTCCTTCCTGATCCTTTTAAATCAAATATTTTACTTACTTACACTTACACTTATTGCAAACCCTCGTGACACTTGGTTTTGACCTTTTTTCTATTCTAATTTTTAAAACCTCCATTTTATCTTTTTCTAGAAAGTGGCACTAATTATTAGGAACACTGCTCATTTCCTCACTGCAGCAACTCTACCACTTTGGGACAGATAGCTCAGACACTGGGCTTTGTCAAACTGATTACTTCTAGGATTAGTCCTAGTCCAAGTCATTTCCTTAACATAACAAAGGGCTTGTTAGAGAATGGTCAAGCTAAGACCTGACCCATACTCAGAATCCCATTTCAGGTTTCAAGTGTCTCCAGTATTGGACCTTAATTATGATCACTATGGGAGGATGAGGGCAAGAATTTTTAGTTCCAGGAATTACAGTAGTCTGTTTTCAGTTCCACTCTACAAGATCCTATAATGTTAAGTAATCAGTGTGGCTCCAATTTCTTCACAATAGAGTTGATATTTTTAAAGCAGAGATCAGAAATATTTTTAAAGATAGAAAACCATTTCCAGGGAGGTGTGATGCCAGAACCAGGCTAACATATTTAATATTATAAATGTATAATATATTACAAATATTCATGAAGCCCAGTGTCTCCTGCAAGTTTACATTCCATGAATGTTTCATACCCCACCCATCATAAATAGTACACTCTTTGAAATGACATTTGACTTCTAGCATGAAATGTTAAAAAAATTCAGGTCCTGAAGCAATTTGGCCTGTTAGACTGAGAGAAGTTAGAACTGAGTGCTTACCACCCACAATTCCTTTGGGGTAGGGAAACAACAAAGGTACACATTATTGCCCTACTATTAGAGATTTATTTCCTTAGGTCGGTGATTCTCACTGCAGCTGCACACTGAAATTACCTGGACATCTTTTCAAAATGATTGATGCCAAGTGCCATCTCCAGAGATTCTGATGGTCTTATCGTGGGGCCACAGCAAAAGTATTTTAAATAGCTTTACAAGTGCTTGTAAAATACAGCCAGAGTCAAGAAACACTGCTTTAAGTTAATGAAAATGAAACTGAATATTCCTTACTTTAAGCTATGAATCATTTTTGTCTTATGACTTTGTTTAATTAGATTGTTTTCTTTGTAGCAGTATGGATCATCCCACTAAGGGAATGAAACTTTGAAGATTAGGGGAAAAAAGCCAGAGAGGAAGGTATGTGGTTATGGACCAAAGAAAGATGCTGAGCAAAGAGGACAGCAACAAGAAGTGAAGTACAGACTCAGAAAGGGAGATAAAAGGTAGTGAAAACAAAGGTGTACACTCCAGGACTTTGCTTTTGGTTCCTGTCAAAACATATACAAACTCAGATGAGGCATGCTGGGACCTCAGTAAAATGAGTCAGAATGTGGGCAGGTGGGTGGTGGGGAAGGGACAGGCAGGGAAAGTGAGCCATTGGTTAGGCTGTGCTCCCAGTATGACTTCTGGTAGATCAGTGTGCAAGTGTTCAAAAGAGTGTGTGGTACTCACTTACGCTTGATACAGCCAATTGTTGGTATCTGAGGGCACTCCAAGTGGTAGGAGGGATGTGACAATAGTAGTTGTGGAAGAGGAAAGAATCTTAAAGTAAGATAGACCTGTTGTCCACTTTATCATCCATTGAGAGCAGCCTCTGGGAGCATGAGAAATAGGATTGAGTATGAACATAAATAGACAGAGTCTTAGGACTTTAGCTAAGTGGCCTATGGTTCAGGGCACATCTCCGGTCCCATCAGAAAATGGGAGATATGGTGAAAAACTGAGCCAGAAGCCAATGAGTATGGTTTGGTCTAACAGAGCAGTAAGGAAAGTTACAAAACAACAGATAAAGCACAAAACAGATAAAATCTCTTGCTGATTTTCTAGCTCCTCTCAATTGATAGGACTGAGACTGCTAAAGTATTCATAGCTGTTATCAATCTTGACTGAAAAGGCACTAAGTTTTTTTTTAAAAAATAGTTTTTAATTCTCCACAAACCATATATTGTTTTTTCTCACCTGAGGTTATTATGCTTTATATTGATTTTAGAGAGGAAAAGAGAGAGAGAGAGAGAGAGAGAGAGAGAGAGAGAGAGAGAGAGAGAGAGAGAGAGAGAGAAAGAGAGAGAAAGAGATCAATTGGCTGCCTCCTACATGTGCCCTGACCAGGAATCAAACCCACGACCTTTTTGGTGTATAAGACGACACTCCAACCAACTGAGTCACACCGGCCAGGGCAAAAAGGCACTAAGTTTTTTGTGTGACATCTGAGAAGAGCTGGGGAAGGTAGGCCTTTCCTAGTCTGCTGGATATAAGACTACTTCTTAACACTGTGGACCTCCAAGCAAACATTCAGAGAAGAACATTTTATGATATAAAATACACTGAAAAGGTATCCCTTAATTTGGAGAGACCTGACAATATTTGGAAGTAATAGAAATAGTTGAAATATTATTTTTGTGTGATCTGCTCACAATAACAGTGATGAGAGTTTCATGCGGTGATAGCAGTGAGAGATAGTGGTGGGAGGAAGGGGAGAGAAAGCCAGCCTTCAACTGGCTGGTATACTTTTCTCTCTCTTGTAAATTTATATTTCCAATTAGGAAATAATACTGGTACCTTATAGGAGTCAGAAGGACTGCCTTTCTCAGAACTGGGTCTAAAATGTGCTTAAATACCAAGACAATGATAAAACTTCATAGTAAAGATGATAACAATAACAATAATTATGGTTGTGAGCTCTTGGGAGAGGAAACAACAGGGATGTTGTTAGATGCTACTATAGAGACAGTGAAAGCATGATAATACCACTTTACATTTGAACAGCTCTCTACAGTTTACAAGGTATTTACATATAGATAATCTCATTTAATCTTCAGGATTAGAGAGGAGATAGGTATTTTCTTTCTTTACAACACCTGTGAGTCTCACATAACAAAAAGGTAGGTATAGGCATTACTAACACCAAAGAATGGGGTAAATGAAGAAGTCCCACAGAAGGGGGGGTGGCATTCAGCCTCTTACAGATTATTAGCCATTTCTTTAAACTTCAGGGGCAATTACCAATAATCTTTATTTCTGACAAAGTCAAATAGGAGAGATATTAATAAAATCAAAGCCTTCAATTTGTAGTCAGGGCTGCTGTGTGTGTTTATGTAGGTTGTGCCCTACACAAGCAAATCTAACTAAGTGGGCATGAGGGCCAAAATCCAATTCACTCTCTGCTTCTTTAACCATGAGCCCTGATGGAGGTTTTGATCCAATGGGACAAAAGAGCATCCATTCACCAGGCAGAGCACCTGTGGGATTGCAATTACCCTGAATATGTTCTTTTGCTAATTCTCACAAAGGCTAGCAGGAGGCCCCACTAAAAAAGCTCTTTAGAAAACTTTTCAAATGGCTATTTAAAGCCCTCCTCCCTTCTCCTCAACTTTTTGCTTATCAATGCTTGGTTGATTGTGAAATCCTTTTAATTGAGGCTTACCAGGTTGTCTAACAATTTGGGGATTCCTTTAAGTCCTTCTAAATTGGGAATTCTTCCTGACAATATGATGTTCAGTAAATTGGACACAATCAAAATGGCCTTCTTTTTTTCTTCCAAAAATTAGATACCACATTACTATCTTATTGACAGGAACCTGGCTAGCCTCTTCCCATATACTGAAAATTATTGTGCATAAAAAATATTAACTACAGTGATAATAGCTAATATTTATTGAGAGTTTATTGTGTGCTAGTCATTTTGCAAGGGCTTTGCATGAACCATCTCATTAAACTTTTGCAACATCCTTACAAATTAAGGCTGATAACTATTTAATGCACTTTATTGAAGAGACTTCTGATGCTCAGAGGTTAAATAACTTGACCAATGTCACAGTAAATGGGAAAGCCAGTATATACATTCAGGTTGGTCTAAAACAGTGATTCTCTCTCTTTTGTTTTTTTCCCTTTCTT